ATAGAGTATCCAAAGAAAAAATCTGCTGGAGAATGATATGAATGTAACATTCAGTTACAGGCCGCATTAATAAACAGCTCAGGTTAGTTTATTTAAAAGCTTATGAAAACATACCTGGACTCAGTCATGATCATGAGAAATCTTTGTTGTTTTTACCTTTAGATGGTGAAACAACTCGCTCAACAATGGAACCCTTCAGCTTTGAGCTGCAGGGAGTGTTTTCTGTCTTTGCTCCAGCACTGAATTGTAAAGCACAGGGTTGGGTTAGGTTAGTAGAGGTCAAGGAACCCAAGGACAAATTGTTAAATGAATCACTTACTCCTCTTTAGGTCAGCCTCTTCGCCTATCTGGTGTTTATGGCCTGGACTCCAGAAGAGAGGGATGGAGGGAGGAAGTGAGGTCGACCTGGAAGAAAGAAGACAGACCACTCTCTGCAGCTCGGGCAACAAGTGTCCATCCGTGTGGTCTCTTTCTCTCTTTTCTCCCTTTTTCTTTCTGTCATTTTGTCTCTCCTTGTACGTTTTTCGTCTCTTTCTGGCCTCTTTTTCATTCTTTCACTCTTTCCAACCCCCTCTGCCTCTCTTCTGTCTCTGTCCATCTTTCCCACTGGGACAGCAGCCATGTGCTTTGGAGGCCCTCAGAGATGAAACCACACACTGGAGCTGTAGCAGGGGGTAGAAGAAGACGAGGACGGCTCCAGAATAAGCTCTGCCGGTGCTCTCGGCCAAGACACTCGCCAGAAACCAAACTGGATGTGGTGAAACTGTCAAATTACTTAAGGAAACTGCATCGAAACCTCAGGAGGCAAAAAAACAGAAAGAAGGATGAGTTTTTTTTCAGCGCATTGCAAAACAAGCAAAGCAAAATGGTATTTAAAGAAGAATTTATTAATTTAAGAAGTTGTCAGTGAAGAGGCCTCCTTGTTCGAGAGCATGTTTAGTCAGTATGTTGCAGGATTGATTTACTATGACTGCGACAGAATAAATTCACTCAGATTACTTTGCACAGTACTTGTTGTTTTACTCATAAATGTATTTATTGTGGTGGCCTATAAGTGTATTATGTGATTCACACATATGACATTACAGTTCTCTAATAAAAAGCCTAACATACTTTCGAGGTGTTTATTTAAATGTTTTTTAAAGAATAAAGCCATGTATATGTTAAGGAAAAACTGGAATGTATGCTGAAAAAATGCTGATTGGTCTGATATAATTACAGAGTATATAATAACAAAACAATACTGAAACCTTTGGGTAAGGGTTTAGATAGATAATCTAAAACTTCTAAATGAATAAGCCAGAAAATATATTAAATCCATTATTTTCTGCTGAACACCTCCTGAAATTGTGAATTGAAGAAACAAATAAAACTGGGCTTTTTAAAGGTTCAGTGGGTAGAATTGTGTGATATCTAGTGTTGCAATTGCATGTTGCAGCTGAACACCCCTCACCTCACCCTCTCCTTCCAAACATGAAAAAGAACCTGTGGTAGCCTTTAATTGTTATAAAACCTCAAAAGGTGTTTAGTTTGTCCAGTCTGGACTAATGTAAAAAACATGGTGGCCTCCGTAGAGAGGGTCCCTTCGATGTAAATATAAAGTATTTAAATAAAACTACAATTCATACAATTTAGATGAAATGAACTAGTGACAACATCATGAGGATCATTCTACATTAAATTTCTGCCAATAGATCCCTTTCACCTGAATCTCACACACTGGACCTTTAAAAGTTCATTTGACACTGACTCATCACTGAAACTGTGGGCAAAAGAAATGCTCTGCAACAAGTATCCACAAACCATAATCCATGTACGCTGATGACAAACCACTCGCACACACTCGTTGTAGATATGCACTGCTCCTGAGTTTATGTCAGTGATGCAGTGAGCAGGTATTGTGTGGATATTGTTTCTTTCAAAAGATTGTCGTATGAGGACCTGAAATTGTAAAGTCTATCTGAAACTATAGATTCTTATAAATGCACTGGTTCATATGTATGCTGCACAAAAATAGAATAGATTCCTGTTATTGCTCCACCCAGTAGATTGGTAAGAACATTTTATCTCTCCATGTTGTCTGGAATGTGCAACAGTGCGTCGCCTTCTAGCAAAAAAGAAACTCCTTTTGTCTTTGCCTGTACATTTAAATTTCTGAAAGATGTTGTTGTTCAAATCCTGAAGTGTTGCACTGGTTTATATGAATTTCTTTATAAACCAGGGCTTTTATTTTGACATTGCCGCCTGTGAAACTGCTGCAGGGCTCCAGTTTAATATCAGTTAAGAGGAAGATGTAACATGAAAACGTGAGAGTTGACATGAGGGATGGATGAGCTCGAGGGCCTAGTGGCTCATTAGGGTGCTATAAATCACTGCTATATGTTTCAAATAAAGTGTTACCATTTGTCTCTGTGTGTGTGAGCGTGCATGTGTGTTTGCATGTGTGTGTGCATGTGTGTTTGCGTGTGTGTGTGCACGCCCTTGCACTACGCTCTGGCTCCACTAAGACTCCATGCCCAGCAGTTATAGACAGCAGAGACGGCTATAACTTCCACTGCCTCCACTGTCTCCTCTCTCTCTCTCTCTTACATACACACACACACACCACCACCACCACCTCCTCCTCCTCCTCCTCACTCCATAACAAACAGCCTGGGCCCCCAAGGCTTCCTGTATCCTACACACAGCCAGCAAATAAACACAATCACATTCATTTAGCCCTTCACACACACAAGCATTCATTCGTGCACAGCCGTGCTGCAAACACACCCAACCGAACACACTCAAGCATTACGGCATGTGCAGACACAAACACACACTGCGACTGAAAGAGGACTCAAATGGGTAACCACTGCTATTTCTTCCCTCATTAAGCCACAATATTACGAGCTGACACTCTGAGAGGCCTGTGGGCTTGGACTCTGTGTTCCAAGGTTTCCACTGTTGAGGGGTGAACGTCTCCTTCTGTTACAGGAAGAGGGGAGCAGAGGAATCAGAGGAGATAACCAGCGATCCCGCAGAGATTTAATGTGCATACTTTAGAGGTTAAATCTGGAAAATCAAGGAAACTGTGTGTCCGCAAGATGATTAAGGTCAGAGCGAGGCGGATGACTTTTCTTTTGGCTTGCTCACACTCAGTGTTTCTTACAATTAAGTGTTGAAATGTAGATGATTTATTTTTCCATTCTCTGCCTGTTTTCCTTTATTATCGTCAGACGAGGAGCATTTATCAATTCATCATGACACTGTTAAGACTCGCACGTTAAACAGTGCAGGACATGTAGCTCTGAGTTTTTGGACAATGCGATTGGACAAAGAACAGAGCACAGAAACCAAATAATTATTTTTCTAAACAGTGTGTAACTGGCAGAGATAGTCTGAACCTTGACCTTGCAGTTATTTTGTTTGGTGCAGAACTTCTGAACCAAAGATTTGGTCCAAGGAAATCTGGTGTTCTCACTCGGGATCAAACTGAGCCGTGGTTTGGATCATGTGCAGTGTGAAAACATTTTTTGCGATTGGATTTTCGGAACAATTGCAGGAAGACAGACATGGTGCGTCAAGTGTAGCAAGACAAATCCCACCTGGTGATGACGACAGGACGTATATATGTCATACAAAAGTCTAAAAACGAACTTTCAGGAGTGAAAACACGAAACAAAAGTCTCCTGTTGATTTAAATTATTCAGTGCAACACATTTGCAACAATTTACCGAATATGTTTAATTTAAATTAAATTAATAGTTTGACATTTTGGGAAATTATTTCTGTGTGCACTTGTAGGTAAATATTAGATTTGACAAATTACACAAACAGATTACAGACAGAAATGCTTTATCTTTGCATTTAGCTAAACTAGTGTTTCCTCCCTTTCCACTCTCTCCGTTGACTTGAGTCTAAAAAAGGTCTTCATTTGATTTAAACCACCATGAAACTAAAGAACAATTTGTGTAAACGGGGCTCAATTTACTAACCTGTTAATCTGATGCGGGTGTAAACATTAAATCATCGCTGAAAATAATCACTTAAAATGTTTTTGTCACTGTTCAAGTTCAGTGTGCAACGACATGGACTCCACTGTGTGTACACTATGAATAATAGAAGACTTGGAAAATTAATTCACTGCCGTATTTGCTTTGTTCAGGCAGAAGCAAAGACTTCATGGCTCTGTGTCGCCGTTTGACTGAAACTGCTGCAGCACATTTAGATGCGAGCTCTGAGTTTGGACTGGGAGAAGTGGTTTCTGGGTAACCATAGCACACATGGGCCTCCAAACAAGCCAGCGTGCGAGCCTTCAAAATGTCAAATATTCGTTGTGCAAATCTGTGGTTCTTTGTGTCAAACAAATTGTTTTAAGTCGTGCAAGGAAGACGATCATGTGGTGTGGGATCACGCCAAACATCCAACATGGGACTAAAACAAACAACCAAAGGCTGAGTTTACGCAGAATGATTCATTTATTTGTTTTTATATATTAAAATGTATTTGATAGACTTGACACTGTTCCTGTTTGTACATGTTGTCATGTTTTAGTAACATAAACATTTTAGTAGGACAGTGTTTATATGATGATATAATCCAGGACCACTTCATATGAATTAAAGTGAACCACTAAGACCACCAGTATAAAGGTTTATAAGCTTCAACTAATTACATCACTGTTATCGAATAATTAAATTAATTAATTATATAATTTGAGATTGCAACTCTGACACAAAGTCTGTTTATCTGCTTAAGTGTGAAGGCCCTGACGGGCTCTGACAGGTCGGACCAGGTTTGTAGAAACAGTTTGAAATGATTCTATGGTTTGGGTTCGGTCACGTTGACTGGGCCGCTTGATTTATTGGACTGCACATGCCTGTAATTGAAGAAAACGTTTGGCACGGGTCGGGTTGGGCTCAGTTGGTTTTTCTCAGGCTCGGATGTGTTCGGACAGAAAGTTGAGCCACAGTGATGAACCATATTAGCACCTACAACCTCAGACTTAAAGACTCACTCTTAATTCATGACCTGTTTACATTTATAGCTGGAGAGTTGGTGATTGTTTCTTTTGAGATTGTGTGAATCTATGAACATCTAACTGATGGTTTATATACATTTTTAACTGCGTTGTTATACACAAAAAAATCGGCTAACTATTTTTTTCACAACAAACCTGAAGTTGGGTCTATTATCCTTAACGCATTAGTTGAAGCTTAACAAGTCCTTCAGAAAGGAACCCTCATTAGAAAGTGTGTAAGTGAGCAGACAGTTAACTTATATAAGTGTTTTTTTTAAATGCAGCATGAGTGTATCAGGGTTTCTCATGTGTTTCAGCAGAGAAAGACATGGCTGACACTTTAAATCCATCAACAGAAAATCAATAAAAAACATTACAATGATAATTTAAGTTACACTTGAAAAACCTGTTGCTACCATCTCATGAACTCACTTATTTTTAGCCCCACAATAACATATTTTTGACTTCATCTTTACATACAACATGTGTTCATAATATCCTCTTCCCTCTTCCTCCTCCTCCTCCTCCTCCTCCTCCTCTCGGGCGTGTGAAAAGAAGATACCAGGGTAGCAACAGAGGAAACATAGCAACCACATAATTGGTGGCCAGGATCAAACTTCAGTCACGCCGTCCTATCGGCGAGGCTCTGTTCCCTGTTCTTTTCCCATATATCTTGTGCCATAATGACTGTGACACAGCTCCGCTACTAGAGGCTTGGGTTGAGTTGGAATGTATGTAATTGGTTTACAGAAGTTGCATTTAAGGACAAAAAAGATCTGCAAGGTTGTAATCACTGACATGTACTCACTGTTGTAGTGGAGGCTGAGCTCACCAGAAATCTGTTTATCTGCCTCTTAGGGTGACTTTATTTTTTGTAACATAAATCATCCGTTTGAATTTAGTGTTTATTGAGTTTAACGTCACAGTGAATCGATTTGTGATTTTTGAGTGGAAACATATATTTGGTCAAAGTTTAGCCTCGTTCTTTCAAAGGCTGTGTCTGTTTTTGATATAAATAGTTAGATTATGTGAAGCTGGTTTCGAACTTCAACTCCGGAAGATGTGCGGAAACAGGGGTCTGGACTCTCTCTAACATGT